ATTCACATTTCAGCATTGTGTGAGCATGCTCACTAAACGTATAGGGAAGCCCAGTCAATTGAATGCCAAACATGCCAAAGAAGATCATTTACCTTTTTGGGTGTTGAGCTTTGTGTGCTTTTTACCTGTTAGTTTTTACATGCATGAAAAGGCGTGTCTGCTTGCAGCATTTGGGAAGCGCTTGGGTTCACGGAATGCTTAGTTATGAATGAAGCCTCAGGTATGCATTCACTTTTCTCAACTGCTTACCCTGTTTATGTAATGTTACAAATCAGATCCCCTGAGCTCCATTTGTTTCAGGTTTACAATTTTTTTTCTTGTTCCTAACCCAAATGTAGAAATGTAGAACTGCACATTTTCATTTTATCTTACTTTCCATCAGCACATGGTAAAACACTTTTGTGGATTTTCTTTTTCAGGTTTCACCCCTGTAGTATCATCCAGTCCATCATTGAATAAATACAAAACTGGAGAATTTTCACCTGGAAATCAAAGTCAATTGTTGAACCCTTACATATCAATGGCAGATAAAGGTAAAACATTCCAATCTTTTTTTTTTTTTTTTAAAGATTATGTTTTCATTGGTTTTTAAGTATAAGGATACCAAAAAGAAAGCACTTATCAGGGCGTTCCTGACAAAACTTTGAACTACAAAAATTCAGATATCAGATACACTCTACAGTAACCGGAGGTCATAATGACCGCAGAGCATACCAGGTGAAACAGCCTGGGTTTATAAGTATGCTAACAGAGAAAGAAGGAGGAAAAGGTTTGATGCAAACCCTTTAGTGGGTGGGCACAGGTAAAAGAGGTATCTGTGGTTAATCACAAGGTGTGTCGCAGAGGTCTTTATGGGGGTCTTGGATGGTGACTAGCAACTGAAGTTAATATGACAAGGGGTAGGCTTTTTTCTCAACAGGCACTGATGACATAAGAATGGGAATCCATGGTTGACTGTTTAGGACAAAAAAGGATGTTATGAATTTGGGGCTCTGGCCTACAGTCCAAGCTTGTATTATGTGTTTATAGTCTAATCTTACTCAAGCCTCTTCATTTGATATTTACTGAGTAACTGAATATGGGTTATTGATATTAAGTTAAATGTGTTTTATTGTGAATTTGCTCACGTGCCTCTTAGTCTTGTGTTTGGTTTCATATTGTCCCAATATCACTGTACTGCACAAGAATGCTTAAACCCTAGCATGTAGCACATGAAACATAGATGTACTAAGAAATTGGTCTGGCAAGCTGCACATCTTCTCTTCTGATAGAGCATGATAATCTCTTTTTATAATGTTTTTGACATTCTATTTTGCCATGTTTAAATAGTTTAAAGCTGAAGTCTAGCCCCAAAAATCTTTTCTCTAATTTTTATTCACCTAATGTACCTGTAATAAGGTATTTCCCACACTGTGCAGACAGTTGGATCCTGTAGAAATCTTTGCAGGATGCCTGGTCCTTTTCTTGATGCTGAACGTCTGGTACTGAAACAATAGTTGTTTTGAATGTAACAGGATCAATGAAAGGGCAAAAGAATCCTGTAGTAAATCAGACTTTCTCCAATTCACAGAATGTTTTCATGGAGTGTAATTTTTTTCCCAAACTTCAGCTTTAGCGTGTATCCTTTTTTTTGCCTTGGATATAGTGGTGTGGAGTTAGGACCATGTCATATTTTTGTTGCTGTCTATGCCCCCCTAGAGAGAGTTACTCTCTCTATTTGTCCTGGTTAGCTCTGCTCTGTCATGGTGACCAAAAAGTGATGGAAATCAAAATTGTAAGTTGTCACCACAACAAGAGCAAAGGGAGAAATCTTCAACTGGAAAAATTAGAACACTTGTTTTAGTTGTAAGAACCCCTAGCGACCAGAGGTCATCATGGCTTGCTAGAAGCCTTACACAGAGAAAGGGACTACTTCCTTTCATTATGTTATCCAAACCGAGCTGCTTAACAGGATCCAGGTTTGCATTACAGGAGGGGGAAATGTGTAAAATAACTTGATTCCTCCTACCAGCTCTCTATTACCCACTTTGCCATTGGTCAAGGACAGAAGCCACACTTTACACATTAACATTTCCTAGGCCTTGCTAACTTGTATTTCCAGGCAGGTCCCTGTGTAGGGTCCTCAGCTGCAGTTGAGAGCCCCCCCCCCCCATCACCGAACCACCACAGATTCTGCCTCTAGCTGGCTGTGTTCCCTCTATCCAACCTCTCTTTTGTATTATAGGCTGTGCTGTGGCCTAACATGGCCAACTTACATTACACTGTGAGACACAAAACCAGTCGAAATCATTGAAAGGTTTATGATAAATGGCACACCAACTCTGTCCGGCTGCTTTAGCCTGCTTTGTACATTAATGCAAGGGGGAGTAGCTGTGGTGCACTGATAACCTAAATTATCCAGATGTGGAACACCCTTGTAGAAAGAGTTCCATCCTTAAGCACCTGAATACCAGACGCTTTTCCCCCCCTTCCTGTCCAGGCCAAATTTCAGCTTTCAGCGCTGATACATTTTGGATGACAATTATTCAGTCATGCAACACTGTACCCACATGACATTTTTATCACTTTTTTTTCACACAAATAGAGCTTTCTTTTGGTGGTATTTAATCAACATTAAGTTTTTTATTTTTTGCTAAATATGCTTAAAAAAATACAAAACAAAGTTGCAAATAAATTACCTTTCTTAATAAATTTAGGCCAAAATGTATACTGCTACATTTCTTTGGTAAAAATAACCCAAATCAGTGTATATTATTTTGTCTGTAAGAAAGTTCTAGACAAGGGTGGGGCCATGCGCTCTGAAGGGACAGCGGCGGTGAGGCTGTCATGGCTGCGGCACAGAGCTCAGAAAGGACAGCATTAGTATGCTGTCCCTTCAGAGCACATGCGCCATTCAGACAGCAAGAGCCCACAAACCTGGAAGGAGGGAAGATGGCAGCTCCTACAGCGGTGACAGCACACCGCTGGAGGGTTTTGTTTCAAGGTAAGTCACTCATAATGTGCTAGTATCTGATGCATACTAGCACATTATGATTTTACCTTGCAGTGAGAACTTTTTTTTATTATTGGAGGAAGTTTGTTACCGCTTTAAAGTGGCTTTGTGTGGTGTGAGTGGAGGAGCCAAAGCATGGTCTAGGAGCTCAAGACACTTCCCGCCGGTGAACATGAAGGGGGAGAGTCAAGCTTAACTCAGGCCTTACCTAAGCTGGAGGGAGAGGAGCTTGGTGCCTGTGGGTGTGTAGCCTGGAGTGTGCTTCTCGGCTGTCGGTGGAGTCCAGGGATCGAAGAGCTGGGTGTATCCCAGTGGGACGAGAGGAGGTGAGAGCTGGAGGAGGAATGAGAGGAATGGAGAGCACCCACGTGGTGGCCCATGTGACAGCAAGCCGGGACTTAGGGAGCTTCGGAGCGATAGAGCGGATCACTCAGAGGGTGGCCCCCAATACAAAGACGGAGATATACCAAAAACACAGACCTCTCAGATACAAGCCCACCAGTGACTGGATGCCCGCCTGATAGAGATGAGCGAATCGAACATGACGAAGTGGAATTCGTTTCGAAGATTAGGAAAAATTTGATTCGCGCCGAATCCGAAAATTAGCAAACTTCGGATGCACGAATCGAATTTTCCCAAAAATGGCGGCGACATGTGTGGCGACGGAGCGGGGATCTCTGGGAAGGCGCGCTGACCCATAATGCATTCATTCATGACATGTGATCGCATTAGCCAATCAGCAGCCAGCCAGCCAGCACTGTGTAATGGTGGAGCTATAAATCGCGGCCATCTTAGAATTCTCCATTAGCCTCCGGTCATTCAAGAGAGACAGACCTGTCTGTATTAGGGACAGAGTTAGGGCCACAGAGACTTTAGGGCCACAGAATCGTTACTCAGGGACACAGAATCGTTACTCAGGGACACAGAATTGTTACTCAGGGACACAGAATTGTTACTCAGGGACACAGAATCGTTACTCAGGGACAGACACAGAATTGTTACTCAGGGACACAGAATTGTTACTCAGGGACACAGAATCGTTACTCAGGGACACAGAATCGTTACTCAGGGACACAGAACAGGGACACAGAATTGTTACTGAGGGACACAGAATTGTTACTCAGGGACACAGAATTGGGACACAGAATTGTTACTGAGGGACACAGAATCGTTACTCAGGGACACAGAATCGTTACTGAGGGACACAGAATCGTTACTCAGGGACACAGAATCGTTACTCAGGGACACAGAATCGTTACTCAGGGACACAGAATCGTTACTCAGGGACAGACACAGAATCGTTACTCAGACAGACACAGAATCGTTATCAGGGACACAGTTGTTACTCAGGGACACAGAATCGTTACTCAGGGACACAGAATTGTTACTCAGGGACACAGAATCGTTACTCAGGGACACAGAATTGTTACTCAGGGACACAGTTACTCAGGGACAGACACAGAATCGTTACTCAGGGACACAGAATCGTTACTCAGGGACACAGAATCGTTACTCAGGGACACAGAACCGTTACTCAGGGACACAGAATTGTTACTCAGGGACACAGAATTGTTACTCTGGGACACAGAATCGTTACTCAGGGACACAGAATCGTTACTCAGGGACACAGAATTGTTACTGAGGGACACAGAATCGTTACTCAGGGACACAGAATTGTTACTCAGGGACACAGAATCGTTACTCAGGGACACAGAATTGTTACTGAGGGACACAGAATCGTTACTCAGGGACACAGAATTGTTACTCAGGGACACAGAATCGTTACTCAGGGACACAGAATTGTTACTCAGGGACACAGAATCGTTACTCAAGGACACAGAATCGTTACTTAGGGACACAGAATCGTTACTCAGGGACACAGAATTCTTACTCAGGGACACAGAATCGTTACTCAGGGTCGTCTCCCCACGCTGCTGCTGGGGGGACTTTTTAACATAGGCCTCTGTATGGCCTTCAATTTTAGCTGCTTACGCTCCGCCACTCTGCCATGGGCCCCTGTACCGCCTCCTCATGCTGCTGCCAGGCCCGTAATCTGCCATGGGCCCCCGTACCGACTCCTCATGCTGCTGCCAGGCCCGTAATCTGTCATGGGCCCCTGTACCGCCTCCTCATGCTGCTGCCAGGTCCAGAATGTGTCATGGGTCCCTGTACGGCCTCCCATTGCTGCTGTCTCCATCGCCACACTCTGCCATGTGCCACTTTCAGGTCTCCTCACACTGCTGGTGGGTTCCATTTTGTCATAGGATGCTGTATGGGCTCCCATTGCTGCTGCCTCCACCGCCACCCTGCGTCATGTGCCTGTCGTCTGCTCACGCTGCTGACGGCTTCCGCTTTTTAACCGAGGCCTGTGTTTGGCTTCCGAATACTGCTGCATACACGGCCACCCTGCGCCATGTGCCTCTGTCGTCTGCTCACGCTGCTGACGGCTTCCGCTTTTTAACCTAGTCCTGTGTATGTCTTACGAATACTGCTGCCTCCACCGCCACCCTGCGCCATGTGCCACTTTCAGGTCTCCTTACACTGTTGGTGGGTTCCATTTTGTGATAGGGTGCTGTATGGCCTTCCATTGCTGCTGCCTCCACCGCCACCCTGCGCCATGTGCCTCTGTCGTCTGCTCACGCTGCTGACGGCTTCCGCTTTTTAACCGAGGCCTGTGTTTGGCTTCCGAATACTGCTGCATCCACCGCCACCCTGCGCAATATGTCTCTGTCGTCTGCTCACGCTGCTGACGGCTTCCGCTTTTTAACCTAGGCCTGTGTATGGCTTCCGAATACTGCTGCCTCCACCGCCACCCTGCGCCATGTGCCTCTGTCGTCTGCTCACGCTGCTGACGGCTTCCGCTTTTTAACCGAGGCCTGTGTTTGGCTTCCGAATACTGCTGCATCCACCGCCCGCCCACTGCTGCTGCCAGGCCCGTAATCTGTCATGGGCCCCTGTACCGCCTCCTCATGCTGCTGCCAGGTCCAGAGTGTGTCATGGGTCCCTGTACGGCCTCCCATTGCTGCTGTCTCCATCGCCACACTCTGCCATGTGCCACTTTCAGGTCTCCTCACACTGCTGGTGGGTTCCATTTTGTCATAGGGTGCTGTATGGCCTCCCATTGCTGCTGCCTCCACCGCCACACTGTGGCTCCACACTCTGGTTTTGGCCCCGTGACTGCCCAAATGAGTGAAGTGTGCGGTGATTCTAAGATCGACGGCACTCATCTGCATGTCATACTGACTGACAGTATTAGTTCTCTTCCCCAGCAGACTCCAAGGGCATTTAAATTAAAGGTACAGTGTTCTGCACTAATATAAAGGCTCTCTGAAGCCTAGAAACACCCTTTTTATAAGTTAGATTCGCAGCGAATATATTCGCCTCGAATCGAATTTATTCCGCGAATTCGGCGAATCAGCCGAATCGAATTTTTTAATAATTCGCTCATCTCTACCGCCTGACATAGAGGATATGGAGGACTGAACAAGTCATGAGCGGTATTACACACTGGATTTGGGCTGGAACAGTGAGTCACCATGTGAGGCAGTAAATCCCTAAAATACTGCTGTATCTTGCCTGATTGCCTGGCTGTGCAGGGTGTGGAGGGATCCCTGTTTGGTGGTATCTGGGGCTGTGCTGGATGGCAGAGGACGGGCTCGGGTCAGAGACGGATGACAGGGGCCACCCATGGATTCCTGACTCTTGGAGAGGAGGGAAATGTGAATTATTTTTGGTGACTGTTAAATCCCTGAAAGTTCCCAAAAAAGGCAGAAAGAGTAAAAATGTTTGAAAAAATAGGAAAACTAAGCCATTCCTGAAACCTGTTCATAAGGTAGTATTGCAGATAACAACGGTCCAGGTGTCATAAAAACCAGCCGTAAAGGCATAAAGACATGAAGGGCAGATCTGTTAAAGGGGGCGGGAGTAAATACCCATCAAACAAATGCAAATACAAGTACAATAAGAAAGTATATGCCACCACAGGAAAAAAGTCCAGAGAGCCAAACTCCAGAAAACCAGTTTGAAGAAAAAAAAAAAAGTATGACGGAGATCAAACCAAACTGTCATATGGGACACTGGATGGGAGCCAGATCAAAGATCCTATAATTATGAAAGTGTAACAGAAAGATCAAGGAGCTAGGGCACATTTGCCCAGAAAAATAGAAATAGCAGAAATGTTTGAAAAAATTGAGCAGTTCATGAAGAAGGAAGTGGCACTATTATATAATGATGTGGGACGAGTACTGGCTCGAGTGGAAGAAGTGGAGGAAAAATGGAGGCACACTCTCAATCAATTACAAATATAGAAATGCAGATGGAGGAGATAAGAAGAGAACAAAGAAAACTATTATTTAAATTTGAGGACCAGGAAAACAGAGAAAGAACAAGCAATTTAAGGATATGGGGCCTGCCAGAAGACCCCCAAGGAGAGGATCTGAGAGACAAAATAAAAAGAGTGTTTAACCCAATAATGGGTACGGTGACAGATCATTTGAAAGTAGAAAGAGTACATAGGATAAGGCGGCCCCAGGGAGTAACAAGCGGTACCCCAAGAGATGTGATAGTCCGATTCCATCACTATGAAGAAAAAGAAGAAATCTGGAAGAAATAGTGGGGGATCTCAGAAATAAAATATGAAGAAATTAATCTGCAAATTTATGCGGATATTGCACCTGAGACACTGGCTAGAAGGAGATCTTTGAAACCATTTTTGAATCAGATGAGGGAGAAATATGTTCGATATAACTAGGGATTCCCCACCTGTCTGATTGGGTGGAAAGACAGTAAATCAAAACTGAAATTCCTGGAAGAACTAAGTGACTTCTGGGATAGACTAAATCTGCAGGAAGTGGACATTATGGGATAGTCTGGGGGGGGCGCAGGAGAGGGAGATATCAGGAAAAGAGAAGTGGCAGGTGGTCTCTAGAAAGAGACGTTGAGTGATGGAAGGGATGGGGGGCGGGACTTAAAAATTCCTCCTTTTTTTTTCTTCTTTTCTCTCTTTTTTGTCTCTGTCTCTCTCTTGTTCTCTCTTTCCTCCTCTGCTTCTCACCTTGCCTCGCTTTGCTCCCTTTGCCCCCTAAACTCATTGAGTCTCTTCCTTTGAATTATTATTTAAGGGAGGTGACCTGTGATAGACATAGACACTCAGGGTAAGCAAAGGGGTCAGGGAGGGGGGAGTCCTGGGGAAGACTGAGAGAGATTTCAAAATCAGCAGGAGGTTGGGGAACCGGGCATGCAGCTGAATTCTTGACCCCAAGATGGGAACCAGGGGTCCGATTGGGCGTGCGTGTTTTGAGCTCCTTCCTGAAATAGGAATCGGGGGTGGTAATACACTACGACAGATTCCAGGGCTAGCATTATGCCAAAGGTTTTTAAGGGTAGGGAAAGAGGGAGTGGGGAGGGTTGGGGAAAGTTAGGGGGGGATGATTGGGATGGAGGGAGACAAAGGTCACTTAGAAGACAGTTTCCTGTTCCAAAAGGTTTGCACTTTCTTCCTTTTACAGTAAGTGGATATGAAGATGGAGAAGAAAGTTAGTAGTCTAAATGATTGTTAGTAATTTCATGACTTATAATGTGAAAGGTCTGAATACCCCAACTAAAAGGCATAAGATATTAAGGGAAATCCATCAGTACTCCACTGATGTAGTGTTTTTGCAAGGGACATATTTATCACAGGATACAAATGTCAAATTATATTCTAAACACTACCCAGTGTGGTATTATGCAGATCCACCAATTAAACACGCAAAAGGGGTTGCAATTGGGTTATCAAAAAATATAAGATTCACCATGGAAGATAGATTAGTTGACCTAGAAGGTCGCTTTTTATTTCTGAAAGGAAAATTACAAGGAATTCAATGTACACTAGCAAATATACATTGCCCAAATAAGAACTCAATGAATTATTTGGAAAGCCTATTAAGAAAAGTTGTAATTTTCAAGAAGGGTTACCTGATAGTAGCAGGAGACTTTTATTTTTGTATGGATCCCTCGTTGGATGCTTCATCATGTGTTCGGAGAGAGGGAGGAAAAAATTTGAAGATGGTGAAGAATGTCAATTGATGGATTCATGGAGAATAAAACATCCAAGCGATAGAGATTAAACTTTTTTTCTCTACGGCACATGGGATGTATTCAAGATTGGATTACATAATGGTAGAACACAGACTCCTGGAGTCTCTGGTAAAATCCAGAATAGAAGTAATGTTGTTATCAGATCATGCACCAATTATAACAAGATTAAGGTTGGATGGAGAACGGGGAGGAAGTAGTATGTGGAGATTAAATGAGCAACTTTTACAGGATATTGAAATGGAAAGGAGATTAAAGAGGGAATTAGAGGAATATTTTATGTTCAATGAGATGGAATAGGTTTCTGTAGCTGCTATTTGGGAAGCACATAAGACCTACATCAGGGGAATCCTGATCTCAATGGGGGCTGAAAAAAAGAAAGAACGGGGACAGGAAAATAAATTATTAATTAAGGAATTATATGATTTAGAACAATTACATAAGGTAAAAACAGAAATAGAGATACAATATAAGATAACCCAAAAAAGAGAAGAGTTGAATGATCTGATGTAATATGATACGAGAAGAGTTTTCAATATGGTTGCTAAAGAGAGATATCAGTGGGGGAATAGACCAGGAAAACATTTGATGAGAAGATTGAGGGAAAAGAAATCAAGAAATTATATAGAAAAAATCAAAGATAAGAATGGAGAAATGGTACATTCAACCACTGATATCGCTAAAACATTCCAACAATATTATAGTAATCTATATGAAGTTAAATCCAAAAATCCAAAGGAGTTAGAAGTAGAAAGAAAGGTAAAATACAAGCATATTTAAAAGAGGCGGGACTGCCTAGACTAGAAGAGGGGAAATTAGCAGTTCTGGATAAGCCTATTACGCTGGAAGAAATTTATACAGCTCTTAAAAGTGCAGTAACAGGAAAGAGCCCAGGACCAGATGGATATATGCTGAGATATTACAGGAAATTTAAGGAACTAAATGTTGCAGGCTCTAGGGAATGGTAAGGAGGGAGTAATTGCAGGCATATATTACAATTTTACCGAAGAAGGGAAAGATCTGTCCCAATGTGCTAGCTACAGGCCCATATTGCTTTTAAATATATACAAAATTGTATTTTGTACAAACAGGTATAGGTAACAGGTGTTTGCTAATACCTGTACAAACAGGTATTAGCAAACAGAATGAAGGAGTTGATGCCAAAATGGATTCATATAGATCAAGTGGGTTTTGTTCCAGGGAGAGAAGGAAGAGATAATGGACTGAGATCATTATTGCTTCTGCAAAAAAGTAAGAAAGAAAATCATTCAGCGATTGTTCTATCAATCGATGCCGAGAAAGCTTTTGATAGGGTAAACTGGGGATTTATGTTTGACACATTGGAAGTTTTGGGTATTGGACCTAAGATGATGCTATGGGTTAAAGCGTTATATAGTTCCCCAACAGCTGTGGTCAAGGTCAATGGCACATTGTCACAATTTTTTAAAATGTATAATGGAACTAGACAGGGATACCCACTCTCTCCATTACTCTTTGTTATATCATTGAAAGCATTATTGGCGACTGTTCGAAGGAATATAGATGTAAAAGGAATTTGGATAGGGGATGTGGAATATAAAGTAGATGTGTATGCAGACGACATACTGTTCTACATGGTGAATCCTAGAGTAACCCTACTCAATTTAATAAAAAGTTTAAAAAACTATGGAGAGCTATCAAACTTGAAAATTAACCCTACGAAGTCATAGATATTAAATGTCAATGTTTCAAAGACAGAAAAACAGATTTTACAGAAAGCTTTTCCCTTCGTATGGAGGGAGAAGGAAATTAGTTACTTAGGTGTAAAATTAACCCCCAATGATAGGAGTATTTATCAGGCAAATTATATCCCATTAATAAATGAGCTGAAGGAAGAACTGAGGAAAATAGCCATTGGATCAGTCTCATGGATTGGCCGTATAAATTTGGTAAAAATTATAATAGTCCCAAAGGTACTGTATAAATTTCAAATGCTCCCAATATATTTACCTGGGTCATTCTTTGAGATAATAAAAAAGATGATATTAAAGTATATATGGGCAAATAAAAGATCAAGAGTCAGTTATGAGGTATTGTGTAGGGACAAAATGAATGGGGGTCTGAACGTTCCGGATTTTAAGAGATATTATTATGCTTTCACGAATAGCAGATTGGATATATAACTCACAGGGGAAAATTTGGGTAAAGATGGAAACTTAAAAACAATATGTTGCGCTCCTTCTTTGAATATTAAATCAATACATATTTCCAATAAATATATCAATAAATCTAAAATAATAAATGATAAGAATTAAAAATGTTAAAAAAAACTAAAAAACAATGGATTATAATTTAATGGAAAGAAACGGAACATGGCATATATGTGGAATCCCCTAAAACACAGCATATAGAGGAAATTACACAAATAGGAAATTATAAATGATTATGTTTTATTTAGGTGGATATGAAACAATATTAATAAACTTGTGAAAAACAGAAAATCATCATGTGAAATCAAAATGTCATCCCGTGCTCATTATACAAAAAATATAAAAAATATATAAAAATTATTCAGTCTTCAATGTAAAAAATTATATGTGACTTTTCCCAGTGATTCAAATCAAATAAATAATTCCAGGTGACTTCCTTAGTGAGTATAAGATGTGCGCTCACCTCCAGATTAGCCTGTAACAGGCTAATAACGCTTTTTGTCCATTCAATGGGACTGATGTTTGTTGCACCATATGAAGAGTGGTGGGTCCCTCTCAGGCTGCTTCCCATCTCCTACTCCTGCTGGGATCTTACTCTTATACTGCTTATCTCCTGCTTTCCTTTCCTTGGCAGGTGCCCTCTCCAGATTAGCCTGTAACAGGCTAATAACGTTTTTGTCCACTTAATGGGAATGATGTTTGTTGCACCATATAAAGACCAAGGCAGAGACCTGCAGTCTCTGCCTTGGTGTGTGTTTTTCCTGGGCCTGTATCTTGTTACCTGCATCCCTGTTCCTGTTCCTGTTCCTGTCCCTGTCTGACTGATTCATTGCTGACCCTGCCTGATCCGGACCTCTGCTGACTTCTCCTGTTTCATCCCTGGCTTGTGACCCCGACCATTCTCTGCCTGACCCCCTATACCTACCTGCCCGATTGTTATTGACCCGGCCTGCCTGACGACGCTTGCATTGTATGTACTGTTATCTGTGGGTGGTTTGGTTCGTTTGCACTGTGTTATGTTTTAGTATTGTACTGCGTTTATGTTTGTATTGTTAGTCTTTAATAAATTATATTGTTTATAACTTATCGGAAGCCTGCGTTTCCCTGCGTCAGTCACATACCTCTGGTCACACCCCGGAGCCCTGACATTACACCAAGGCCAATCCTGACCAGAAGTGGCTGCACAGGGAAGCCATCTTGGCTTGTTGCTGGGAAGGATGGATCTGGATGAGGTTGTGTTTTTATCTCTGCTAGTGTTTGATGACAGAGAATATGCTTATCAGACTCTGAAGGAATATCCCAGGGATCAACTACTAGAATGTATACGGATCGCTCATGTTCTAGTAGATCAGGGCACAGAATTCTCTGAGGTGCAGCCATTGATTCAGGTTTGTGCTGAGTTGGTTTCATCTGGTACCCCCGAATGCAGGGATGAATGTTTGCCGCCATTTAGTGCCGACCAGATAGAGTCCCTGGTATGGTTATTAGAGGATGATGTGGATTACTTTCTGGAGCGTTATTCTGCATGTTCACCACAGATACTAAGAGATTGTATAAACGCAGTGCAGTCATTGACCAGACAGGCTTTGTGTAAACTGAACTTTGTTCAACCCATACTGCAGACATGGTCAGACTTGTTGCACCCAGCTTCAGTCAGCTTACAACATCATTCCTCCACTCAAGGCACTCTTCCTGCATCCCCGACAGCACCCCCAGTGACTGCCCAGTATACTCTAACTACCACATACCAGTCCTCTGCTCCCACTCGCTGCACTTATCCTTTCTTTAACCCTGTAAAGAAGTCCTCTGTAGCAACTGCTCCCTCCTCTGTTCCATCTTCCAGCTCTTCTCTGTCCTCAGCTGCTCCATTCGTTTGCAGACCTGCGTTTACTTGCAGTGCCTCAGTAGTTAAAACCATAAAAAAGCGGAAATTCTTTCCAACCAGTACCATCCTGCCAGTATGCAAACCGGTGAGCCTGCCGTCTGAGAACCTGCCTTCCGTGGTTCAGCCTGGTGACTCAGCACCCGCACTTCAGCCTGATGTCTGTACCCAGCCTGATGTCTGTACCCAGCCTGATGAACTGATCCAGCCTGATGATCCTATCATGCCTGGTGACCCGATGCCCGCTGTCGAGCCAGACGATCCAATGCCTGATGACCCAGTGCCCGCGGTCATGCCTGGTGACCCGATGCCCGCTGTCGAGCCAGACGATCCAGCGCCAGATGACCCGGTGCCTGCTGTGGAGCCAGACGATCCGGTACCTGATGACCTGATGACCCGGTGCCCGCTGTCGTGCCAATTGACTCAGAGCCCACTGTCGTGCCTGGTGACTCGGTGCCCACTGTCGAGCCAAATGACCTGATGCCTGGTGACCCGATGCCCGCTGTCCAGCCAGACGATCCAATGTCTGACCCAGTGCCCGCGGTCATGCCAGTTGACTCGGAGCCCACTGTCGTGCCTGGTGACACGGTGCCCACTGCCTTGCCAGATGACGCGGTGCCCACTGGCGAGCCAAATGACCTGATGCCTGGTGACCCGATGCCCTTTGTCGTGCCTGATGACCCGGTGCCCGCCGCTCCGCCTGGGGGCCCGGTGTCTGCCGCCCCTCCTGGGGGCCCGATGCCTGTCGCCCCTCCTGGGGGCCCGATGCCTGTCGCCCTGCCTGGGGGCCCGATGCCTGTCGCCCCTCCTGGGGGCCAGGTGCCCGCCGCTCCGCCTGGGGGCCCGATGCCTGTTGCTCTGCCTGGGGGCCTGATGCCTGTCGCCCCACCTTGGGGGCCTGATGCCTGTCGCCCCTCCTGGGGGCCCGGCGCCCGCCGCTCTGCCTGGGGGCCCGGCGCCCTGCCTGGGGGCCCAATGCCCGTCGCCCCGCCTGGGGCCCGATGCCCGTCGCCTCGCCTGGGGGCCCGATGCCCGTCGCCCCGCCTGGGGGCCCGATGCCTGTCGCACCGCCTGGGGGCCCGGTGCCCGCTGCTGCTCCGCCTGGGGGCCCGGCGCCCGCCAACCCGCCTGGGGGCCCGGTGCCTGTCGCTCCGCCTGGTGGCCCCGCGCCTGCTGCTCCGCCGGCGAGCCCGGCGCCCGCCGCTCCGCCTTGGGGCCCGGCGCCTGCTGCTCCGCCTGGCGGCCCGGTGCCTGCTGCTCCGCCTGGTGATCCGGTGTCCAGCTCGATGTGCCTCTGCCCGGAGTCCAGCTCGATGTGCCTCTGCCCGGAGTCCTGCCCGGAGTCCAGCTCGATGTGCCTCTGCCCGAGTCCTGCCCGGAGTCCTGCCCGATGTGCCTCTGCCCGGAGTCCAGCTCGATTTGCCTCTGCCCGGTGTGCCGCTGCCCGGAGTCCTGCCCGGTGTGCCGCTGCCCGGAGTCCTGCCCAGTGTGCCGCTGCCCGGAGTCCTGCCCGGTGTGGCGCTGCCCGGAGTCCTGCCCAATGTGCCAGTCTTTGATATCCCGCCAGTTACCAGACCCGGGCGGTGGAACATTTTGCCCAGCTAGGACTGTTTGGAGAGTCCTGAGGCCGCTCCTTGAGGGGGGGGGGGGTACTGTCAGGAATGGACTTGCCAGTAATGGTGGGACTCACCTGCCTTGTGGGCTGCAGTACCAGGGCTGGCCAGCGGGTGCTCCCGGCAATCAGAAACTCAACCCTGCAGCCAGCCAAACACCTGAAGCTGATCATGCAGGTGTATTTAAGGGATGGCCAGACCTGCAGTCTCTGCCTTGGTGTGTGTGTTTTTTCCTGGGCCCTGTATCTTGTTACCTGCATCCCTGTTCCTGTTCCTGTTCCTGTCCTGTCCCTGTCTGACTGATTCGTTGCTGACCCTGCCTGATCCGGACCTCTGCTGACTTCTCCTGTTTCATTCCTGGCTTGTGACCCGACCATTCTCTGCCTGACCCCCTGTACCTACCTGCCCGATTGTTATTGACCCGGCCTGCCTGACGATGCTTGCATTGTATGTACTGTTATCTGTGGGTGGTTTGGTTTGGTTCGTTTGCACTGTGTTATGTTTTAGTATTGCACTGCGTTTATGTTTGTATTGTTAGTCTTTAATAAATTATATTGTTTATAACTTATCGGAAGCCTGCGTTTCCCTGCGTCAGTCACATACCTCTGGTCACACGCCGGAGCCCTGACAGATACTTACTTTGTTTCTTCAATAAATATTTTAAACGATAATGCACGAGGTCGGTGCGCCCTTTTTCTGTTTCTCCATTTGCATCCATTGTATTTGGACCACCCCGGTCTGTTGAGGGCAGCAAGCAGTGCATATTCCAGAAAATTCCAGAACATTCCTATTGGGTCTACTGAGTCCTTTCCTAAAGCAGGAGAAAAGTATTTGTTGTGTTAGAATTGTGCACATACTGTATACTCAGGTATATGTAGTTATTAATAGAGATACTTCCAAGTGAATTTTGCAGCAAAGTCCCATTTCAGGGGACCCTGAGGGTGACGCGTTGTTTGCTTTGTGTCAGAGACCTGAAGACAAGATCTGCAGTGATGGCCCTCCAGCCATTACTCAGCTACAGTGGAATGCAGTCCTATTTATCTGGCAATAATCATCTCTTCTGATCTGGTAGTAGTAGCATGGACAGGACGTGTGACTGAGGCCTTCTCTTTCTCCACTTCCTCCTTCCAGGTGCTTTTCTCAACAACTTACTAAACAATATGGTAGTGTGACAAGAACACCCCTACCTGAAAAAGAAGGTTACTAGATGATCCATGCGGAGTAATATGAATTCAAAAGAATTTTAACAATACTTTATTTGATCACATAGATCATAGGCAGGTTAAACATAAGCACGGTGTACATATGAAAAAAATAAAATCATGTTAAAAAACACTTAGCGTCTTCAATTTAGGGTCATCTTAGCAAATAGAGCACCATATAAGGCAGAGTTGTGTAATGATGCGATAGTTATCCTGGATTTCCGTGGGTTTCCCACTTAAATTCAAATAAATCATGTGTTCAACAGATGTGTTCCCAATATATGTCAGGGACCTCCTGGAATGTAAGAGCTGGAACACAAAAATACATAATGTATGTATAGGAATATGAAAACCAATTCACATCCAAAATTCACCAGGCCTCCCTCCACATTGGTCAATGGATACTACTATTACCTTCTCAGTAATGAGACTATCATGCCCGCTTCTCAAATGTAGGGACTTCCTGGATAGCCACCCCAGGTGAAACAAGGTCCACAGTACCAAATGATTCTGAGGATATATATAGAGAAAAATTGATAATAATGATAAATATATAAATCATAGGCATCAAGTGACCCCGAAAACAAAACACACACAAAATGTGGATATATTACCATCAATAAAGATCAAGAAGACTCCTGTCAACTTGAAATAGGATCAGGTCCTTGATGCTTTTTCAAAAATGCATATGGGGGTGAGGAGCCAGGTAGTCACAGTGCGTGGATTCCAAACACATATATAGTGTGTATGTAGCATATAGCAGGCCGTAGATACCTGAGTTTAATATACCCAATACAGGGTTTCCAAAAATTGCTCAATTAGAGAAGGTTATTGCGGTTTTATAAGGATGTGGCTATGTCACAGCAAAAAATGCCTGAATAGGATAGCGTATATATATATATACATGTAGATTATCCTCCAAAGAGGGTTTCCAAAAAATTCCCCGGGTATACAAGGTAAATTAGGCCCATAAAACATGTCCTATTGCCACCAAATAGGCTCTATAAATCTCAACAGCCGTAAGCTTTAAGTAACTTGCCACCGGTGGAAGGTATGTCTCCCTGAGGGATTGCCGTTTTGCGAACTGCTGTAATAGTAGCCCAGTGGTAGTTCTCAGAGGGTCTTGGGCCTTCCTAGCAGGGAGCTGTGACACCGCCGTTCCTTCCCGCCTCATGGGCGCCGCACCCAGTGAAAACGCCGAGCGTAGTGACGTCAATACGTTGACGTGTTTCATCCGCCAATCACCGCAGACTTCGTCAGAACAGTTCTGACGAAGTCTGCGGTGATTGGCGGACGAAACGCGTCAACGTATTGACGTCACTACGCTCGGCGTTTTCACTGGGTGCGGCGCCCATGAGGCGGGAAGGAACGGCAGTGTCACAGCTCCCTGCTAGGAAGGCCCAAGACCCTCTGAGAACTACCACTGGGCTACTATTACAGCAGTTCGCAAAACGGCAATCCCTCAGGGAAACATACCTTCCACCGGTGGCAAGTTACTTAAAGCTTACGTCTGTTGAGATTTATAGAGCCTATTTGGTGGCAATAGGGCATGTTTTATGGGCCTAATTTACCTTGTATACCCGGGGAATTTTTTGGAAACCCTCTTTGGAGGATAATCTACATGTATATATATATATATATACGCTATCCTATTCAGGCATTTTTTGCTGTGACATAGCCACATCCTTATAAAACCGCAATAACCTTCTCTAATTGAGCAATTTTTGGAAACCCTGTATTGGGTATATTAAACTCAGGTATCTACGGCCTGCTATATGCTACATACACACTATATATGTGTTTGGAATCAACGCACTGTGACTACCTGGCTCCTCACCCCCATATGCATTTTTGAAAAAGCATCAAGGACCTGATCCTATTTCAAGTTGACAGGAGTCTTCTTGATCTTTATTGATGGTAATATATCCACATTTTGTGTGTGTTTTGTTTTCGGGGTCACTTGATGCCTATGATTTATATATTTATCATTATTATCAATTTTTCTCTATATATATCCTCAGAATCATTTGGTACTGTGGACCTTGTTTCACCTGGGGTGGCTATCCAGGAAGTCCCTACATTTGAGAAGCGGGCATGATAGTCTCATTACTGAGAAGGTAATAGTAGTATCCATTGACCAATGTGGAGGGAGGCCTGGTGAATTTTGGATGTGAATTGGTTTTCATATTCCTATACATACATTATGTATTTTTGTGTTCCAGCTCTTACATTCCAGGAGGTCCCTGACATATATTGGGAACACATCTGTTGAACACATGATTTATTCGAATTTAAGTGGGAAACCCACGGAAATCCAGGATAACTATCGCATCATTACACAACTCTGCCTTATATGGTGCTCTATTTGCTAAGATGACCCTAAATTGAAGACGCTAAGTGTTTTTTAACATGATTTTATTTTTTTCATATGTACACCGTGCTTATGTTTAACCTCCCTATGATCTATGTGATCAAATAAAGTATTGTTAAAATTCTTTTGAATTCATATTACTCCGCGTGGATCATCTAGTAACCTTCTTTTTCAGGTAGGGGTGTTCTTGTCACACTACCATATTGTTTAGTATGTAGTCTTTGGGTTTTTGTATCCACACTTATACAAGTGAGTCGGAGATATGCTAATGACACCGGTAATTTGTGTCATTTTTGGTGGCCTGTTTTTGCTCTATTGTTGTGCTTTTCTCAACAACCCCGAGTCAGGAAATGACATACATACAGTAACTATACATTACAGTTTCATACTAGCAGCTTACAATAGAGAGCAGCAAATCTCTGCACAAGTTTCCGAACGAAGTACTCCCTTTGTTTATGTAGCCTCAGAACAAAGTGGTGGAGTTGATCACACCAACAAGGAAAAGGGCACCACAGCACTGTTCACCTCCTCTTACACAATGACAACTGTTTAAGAGTACATTTCCCCTCACTTTGGAAGGATCTCCCCTTCCTTCCTTTTGTTTTTTACAAAACGTGAAGAACAATCTCTTGAATGGGCCAGAGATGAAAAAAAAATTGAAAGGTGTTTTAACCACTTTCTATTCAAAATGAAAATAAAGG